CACTACCTCCCACAATTATCTCAGCTGTACATCCTCACACCCTGATTCCTATAAAGACTCCATTCCATCCTTGTGAGTTTCTTTGTCTCCATGACATCTGTTGTGATGATACCAGCATCTACAAGGGGGCTTCCAAAATAGCTAGCATCTTCTTCAACCAAAGATTCCATCCTACCATGGGTTGAAAGGGCCCTCAGATGTGTCTAAACCATTTCCCGCACTTTTGTCCCCACCCCTTCTCTTCACTCCCACAACACGAGAAGGTCTCCCTCGTTCTCACTTACCATCCAGTCAGCAGCCACATCCACAGGATTGTAAGCCACCATTGTTGCCAACTCCAGCAGGATATCACAATCAGACACATTCCCTCCCCACCCCCATCAGCATTCCACAGGGGCCCTTTCCTCCAGGACATTTTGGTCCACTCCTCCACTCCCAAATTCACCCCTCCACAGTCCCACAGCACCTTCCCATGCATTCACAGAAGGTGTAATACCTGGCCATTCACTTTCTCCCTCCTCGCTATCCAAGGACCCAAACATTCCTTCCAGGTGAAACAATGATTTACGTGCATTTCGCTCAATCTAGTCTGCTGTATTCACTGCTCATAGTATGGTCTCCTATACATTGGGGAGATGAAATGCATACTGGGTGACCACTTTGCAGAAAACACTTTGAGATGGCACAGTGCTCAGTGGTAAGCACCAGGAACAAGGGTTCAATTTCAGTGTAGAGTTTGCACATTCTCCCAGTGGGTTTCCTCCCACAGTCCAAAGATGTGCAGGTTAGGTGGATTGGCCATGCTAAGTTGCCCATAGTGTCCAGGGATGTGCAAGCTAGGTGGGCTAGCCATGATAAATGCAGGGTGACAGGGATAGCAGGAGGGCAGTGTGGAGTTGATGGGCTGAATGGCCTGTTTCCACACTAGGGATTTGGTGATCTGTGAGCGCCTACATTCTGTCTGTAAAAATAGCCCTGAGCTTCCATTTGCCTGCCACTTCAACACACCATCATGTTCCCACACCAACATTTCTGTTGCAGGCCTGCTGCAGTGTTTCAGCGAGTCCCAGCGCAAACTCGAAGAACAACATCTCATTTTCTGCTTGGGGATCCCGCAACCTCTAGGACTCAACATCCAGTTCAATAACTTTAGAGCCTGATTCCATTCTTCCATTTTTTTTACCAACTCCACACTCGGTCCTGTTATGACATGAATTGCTTTCAGCACAGACTACCCATTCTCTGCTACTCTCTGTGTTCATTATCATTTATTCAGCTTTGTCCTGGTTTACATTCTATAATCCCTGCCTACCCCTTTCATACGTCTGTCTCGGGGCTCCATTACCATCTATTACCATCCCAACTCCCAACCACCTCGTCAGTATAAATACAACAGTTTCTGAGCTGCTATCAGTTGGATGAGGAGTCACCGGATTTGAAACATTAACTCTACTTTCTCCCCACAGAGGCTGTTAGATTTGTTGAGTTTTGCCAGCAATTTCTGTTTTTGTCTTAAGCATGAACCAGATTGTTTACAACTTTGAGGTAATATTTGACCCCAATTTGAACCACCTATATTTTTGAATGTTACTAAAACTGTCTATTTCTAGCTCTGTAAAATCATTCAACTGTACCTTTGGTTCGTCGGGTCAAACCTTCATTCATCCCTATCTTGCCTGTCAAAAGCAATGCCAGCAATCTCAATGCCAAGGACCATTTCTACCTCCTGGAAACACCAGCTAACTGTGTGGACAGAGATGTGGTTGTAGGATTGGGCTCATCAGCCTTGTACAGACCCACAGAACCATGACCAGTGACATAGAATTTCCTAAATTGTCAATCATGTTTGTTAGT